GGGTGCAGCCGGCAGGAATGGATGGAGAAAATTTCCTTTACGGACTCGTAAAGGGAGCCTATTCCGGTCCTCCCTCTGGATAGCAAGAGGAGCTGCAGCAAGCTTGGCAAAGGCAAGCAAAATCCTGCGCCTGTAGACGAGATGTATCGGAACTCGACCACTGCAGCTGGAATGACAGGGGTCCCGGCAAGGCAGAGGAACAGAAGCCACAGTGTAGCAAGCAGGAACCTACGGCAGGACGCTGGGCGGGAGGCGAGCTTTCTCCTGCTGGCAGCAGATCCACCATCCTTCCCCAAGCCAAGCAGAGTGAGAAGAGGGCTCTACTTCCCCTCCTCCACCTTATCCCCAAGCCCGATTCTCGTGGGAGAGAAAATCTTCAGGTGGGAGGGGGTCCCTCCAGGAGTCCTCCTCCCTCTGAGTTTGGCAACTTCTTCTGTCTTTAAGCACTCAATCATTAGGCTAAAAACTCGCCCATTATTGTCTCTTAGCAACAGAAAATGGGGGGATCTCCCCAGGAGGGAGAACAAAAGGARAAATCCTGACTTCCAACAATCATACACCAAGAAAAACTGTATGGGCCATTTTAGACCCTTCCTCTATTTGAGGAAAACATGTCTACCTTAAGGTGTTTTGACGATTTATTAGCATTTAGCRTAGGGCTATTTCAAATTGGTCACTGAAGAAGTGAGATACAATCACGCATAATTATTAACTGATCTCTATTCGTATTCACAATATGGTATGTGATCCACAGCATGTCCTGAATAAAAGTCAAGTCTCAAGTTGTTCCATGTAACAGTCCTGGAAGAGAAGTAGACGTGTCTCCACACCCTGGAATCATCACAATGCTTGTACCCCTGGGCAGACTGGGGAGTGACCCGGTGAGGAACAGCCTGAGCACTCACCTTCCTGACCCTAAGGGAATWGCTTCCTTAAATCTGCAGAGAGAGCAATACACAGTCATTTACAGTTTTTGTGTATACTTTTTCCTCGAGCTTGCTGGTATACACATTCGGAAGACTAACAGCAATTTCTTTTCACAACAGTGATTAGAAAAGAAAATGTGCTGTGAAGGCAGGAAAGATCAGGAGTTTGCCAGTGGAAGAGAATAGATAAATGACAGGGCTCAGCTCAGGCCCTCATGCAGCGACAGAGCTGACTCTAGGTATTTTCTCTGTCCTGTTGCTTGTGCCTGCTCCCTATTAGGGYTTTACCAGTCACATAAAACAACCGACCCCCCAAGCCCACTTGCAGCACAGACACACACACAGAGCTGTGTGACCACCTGCGAGAAGTGTGGTAAAACAGCATGAGGAAAAGTACACTCTTCAATCTCTCCTTCCCAAGGATACCTGCTCTTTGTTACGCCCCTTGAGAGAGTAGCTCCATTACACAAAAATGAGGCTAATCCATTTGTGAAAAAGCAACAAACCAACCCCCAAAACTTAGCTCGACCGAGGTCAGTGTATCCATGGGTGGTGAGAAGAAGTCCAAAATAGGAAGCGCACAAGACACATCTGGGGTCTTGCACTGCACCCAACTCTTCAGGTTCCCCTGCCTTCACCAGCATACCCCTCCCACAGGCACATACTGCATGCACTCAGAGTTACCTGTGTATTTCCATTAGAGTAAGGACAAGAAAACTACTTTGGATGCAGAGTCTTCACTTGAAAAGGTTTTGCAAGCTCCTACTTAAAATCTCACCTAGGATTCACATATAGACTCTCACTTCACTAAGAAAGTTTAAAGTGTTTGCCTTTTATTTAGAAGACTCGCTCYATTTCCAGTAATACTTTTCCACATCCTTGAAACCAGATAGCCTCTAGTCTCATAACAGCACCAGTCTACTACAAAAAAAAAAAGCAAACAAATCAAAACCAAAAAAGTTTCATGATGTGATACAGCATAAAGAAACAAATACAGCTAATACATTAGAGAAATAAACATCTACATAAATGTACGTAATTTGCTATAAAACTGGCAGGATGCAATTAAAAGATTGATGAGATTACCAGGTTCGCTAGACGTTTGAACAAGTCTACATAGGCTGCAACTATATTCTTGTGCTGGTTTTAGGCATGAYTGCACTCAGAATCTAGCTATCTCAGTTATCCACACTGGTGGGCTTTCATACAATTCCCCTACAGCCAGCAGTGTGTATGCAAGCATCTCAAGCTACCTGTCCAGACTCAAGCAGCACTTATAAAACTGTGAAGAGATATGTAATCTATTGCTGTCCCCTCCCTATGAATATGGTATTAGCGGGTTCATCTGCATATGCCTGGTTAAGAAATAAAACACTTTTGTGCTATAAAACCTTAAAGTCACATGGAATCTTAGACTTTAGAAAAATATTTTAATCATCAGTTCACAAGTAAAAACTATTGCCATTACAAAACATTTTGTAATACTAGCACACCTAACTTGGAAAGTTTTGTTCTTATTGCTGTTGCATTTAGTTTTCAAGAAGGTAGCAGTGAGTTTCCAACTTGTCATAGTCAGCTTGTAAGGGTTCTCACAGGAAAACGTATCTTCCTATTTAATCCTCAYGCAATTTTCACATGTTTAGGCTCCCCTGACTTTTCCCAGACATGTACATACTTGACATCTGACACTATGCATTAAAATCTCACCCAACTTTGTTTCATACAACAAATTTCATTTGCAGCCTTTAAAACATTCACTCCAAAAAGAGTGAACATCAGCACTGACACCACCTTAGCTACTTGTAAACCCTATAACTGTGTTCTGGCAGCTATCAGATATTAACTCGTTCATTTCGTTTTGTTTGGTTTCTTCCTTATTCTCATGGTTGGGTTGCTGTTTTGAATTTCCAGCTTTTTTAGACCTTCTGAGGAAAAATTTTGTCAGTAAGTAACACAATTCAGCCACATTTAAAAGAATGCAAATGCTGGACACAGCAATCATGAAAATAGTGAACACGGTCTTTTCAGTAGGTCGGGAAACAAAGCAGTCTACCGTGTTGGGGCAGGGCCAGGCATTACACTTCATTAAGCGAGGCATTCGGAAACCATCGTACATGAAATAAAACGCRTACATGAAGACTGCTTCAAAGATCAGTCTGAAAAAGATGCTGCTGGTGTATGTCCACCACAAAGAGCCCTCAATACGAAACCTCTGTCTTCTGATTTCCTCTATGTCCTTGTATTCACATTTCTGGTCTCCTTTTCTGAACTGCCTCTTCTTCTCATGTCTCCTGTAAGCCACATGCATGGCCACCAGTAGYGCAGGTGTGGAGACGAAGATCAGCTGCAGGGCCCAGAGTCTGATGTGAGAGATGGGGAAAAAATGATCATAACAAACATTTCTGCAGCCAGGCTGAAGAGTGTTGCAGACAAAGTCATCTTGTTCATCTCCCCAGACTCTCTCTGCAGCCACAACCAGGATCATGATACGGAAGATGAAGAGGACTGTGAGCCATATCTTCCCGATACTGGTGGAGTGCTTATTTACACCTCCCAAAATGGTATGCAGAGCTCCCCAATCCATTGTCTTGTCTCAATCCTCTGACCTAAGACAAGAAAAATAAACAAAACTAATATTAATCAAGACAGGAAACAAATACCRTCAAGCATGTGGTTTAAAATAAAGGCAATATCATGTAATTGTAGCACATCCACTGGCTGTGGTAATGTTTTGTTGACACAGTGGGCTTACCTACAATTAGTCATAAATAATAACCTAATCATATACCAGCAGGTAATATTTCATTACTGGATTACACACATGGCACCACATTCATTTGACTTCTAGGTGTATTTGCCAACGCCACATTAAGTAAGAAAAATGGGAAAATGATGAACACAGCCTTAAATTAGGATACAACTTCTAATAGTTTGATAATAGTAACAAAATAATRGAAGATATCAGCCAAAAGTAAGGTAGATGTTATGTTAAAAAATAAGTATTGGACAGATAGAATTCCTATACAAATCAAGGTAGACTGCTTATCCTTATCTTTAGCATGTAAATAATGCTTAGATGAGTACATTCCAGCAATAAAGACAGACCTTGACTAACTGTTGCTGATGCTTTGCCCCTTCCATGAGAAGGTCTGGATAACCTGTGTTCACCCATCTAAGAAGTGTGACTGCATTCTTAGTCAGAACAAAACTCCAGACTAGCTTGAAGCAATGAAAGTTAAAATCTTGGGCATTATCCATCTCAAGTTTGATGTTTAGGATCAATATTTAAGATTCAAGATTCATACCAAAATTGCTTTTCTCTCTACTAACTACAAAAAGGRCTTAGGGAAACTAGACAAAGACTCTTTCATTGTCAATACCTCTTAGGCTGGGGTTTTTCTCCCCYCTCGTAATACAGACTGGATTAGTCCTAGTTTAGGGGAGATATTTCAGAGGCTGGGAGAGTGCTATGGTCAACATTTGAGGTGTTCAGACAGGCCAGCATATAGTTTCCACCAGGTGAGTTTCAAAGTGCTTTGACCGTAATGAGTTAAGGATTTCACCTTTTTGTCTCCTCAAAAAGGTTGTCTGGGTTTTCACATCTTCCATAAACAAGTTTTCAGAGAGCATTCAGAGGTATTTCAGCCCATCTCCCCCCACCCCTGTGCTTCAGAAGGATTTACACAAAGTTTGCAAGCCTCTGTGTATTCAAGAAGCTGACATTTCTTGTGCCTATCAGCCAGGACCCTCCAAGAGTGTTTACAGATATGAAACGCCTCATTAAAGTTTTTCTTTCACAACTTTGTTAATTTGTTTGCATCTCAGAGACTGAATTTCTTTGGCATTTACAGTACAAGGCACCAATAAGCAAAATCACCTTTTCAAAGTTACTTTAAAGAGCAGCTACTGGCAAAAAGATCATCATATCAATCACAAGATTTTCCTGATTCTGAGCTGGATCACATTGCATGAGGAAGAAAATGACAACACTATTTTGTAGTTATCTTCCATGTCACACCCCCATTCCAAGTCACCTCAAAAACCTTTCTCGCTTACAGTAAGTTATATGTAATCAGTAGGTCACATACAATAATACAGAGCATCAGTCAAAGTACACAACAGCTCAGAGAAAATTAGGACACTTGTTACATAACCAATAGTATCTTTTCCTTGAGTTACGGGATCTAAATGAAATCTCCTTTCACTAGTTCCATGAAAAACATTTCCCTCAGATCCTCCTGGTTGACTGAGTGGCTATACTCCAGGAGCTGAAAATCAAGGGAGAGATCTAAGATCTTCTTCAGATTGCAGAGAATTTTTCCTGAGCCTCTTCAGGATACAGCATCTATATGGGGTATTTCCTCTGCACCTGACTGAAAACAGTCCTGAAAAAGACTTACCTTGCTATCCTTCTAAGTTATTTTTTTACAAGAAGAAAGAATCTTTTTCATTAGCATACAGATGCAGAGAGCCTCTGTAGGTTAACAGCCCTATGAGGACACAGGAAAGACCCTTAATACCAGAGATACGTATATCAGCTAGATTTTGAATTATTTGTTTCCATCCCTTTTTCTGTCAACAGATTGATGAAAAATCAGACCAAACTTTCTTTCAGACTTTGGCTTGGCAATTACGTATTGTTAAACAGGGAAACAGTTACAACTCTTTAGCGCTCCGTTACTATTACACACACACAGCAGTTACAGTACTTATAAAATGACAGTACAACTAAGTATTATGACTRGAAATACTTATGAATGTTTCAAAATAAATCCTGTAGAAGAGCAGAACCGTGCAACTTGTGGTATTACACGCATTATTTACCTATCCTGCAACTCCACCAGAGTCCTTACTTTGTTCTCAGTCATTCTTTCTCCTTCTCCCTGCCTGCCTATCTTCTTACAGAGTGAAAAGGCTGTCAAGTGAAASCTGTGTATCCCGTCCCAGGAAGCCCTGTTTCTTGGCTTCACATCTCACTGCACACCAGTAGTGTTGCCATTTTGTTACAACTTCACATGGATTTGTTTCTCTCTCCCTTTGCAGAAGGGGATTCAAAATACAAGTTGCCCAGTGTGTAGTCAGTCAGCTCAAGAAGCTCCCCTAGTCCTGTTTTCTCCTGAGGTCACACATTGGCTCATCTCCTCTGACTTTGTGAAGGTGTACTATAAAGCAGGTGACTTGTCCCCAAGTTATTCCCAGGACTAGTATGTTTTGGTTGGTTTGGTTTTTTAAACCTGATCCATCTCACCAACTTGCCTTACAACACAGACCCACAGAYCATCTGAAAAGGACAGCATGGGTAAAAATGAGCAGTCATTGGGGAAGAGGGGTCAGCAAAGCTTTMGTGCTGAGGATAATACACACTCCTCTTCATCTGACTTGCTCCATCTTCTCTGAGCATATACTGTGCTTGCTAAGCCAAACAACTGCTTCAATGCTAGCAAAGGCATGTCAGTATCAAGATCAAGAAAGAAGAAAAAGCCACCCCACTTTGAAAAGGCAGCCTTTTGCCCAGAGTCTCCCAGTGATATCTCCTCTCCTTTCCWAAAAAGCCTTTGTCTTTCATACCTGCCCAAACACTCCTCCCTTCATCCTTCCCACATACCTTTCCAAATCTTCCAGCTATCTCTTCAGCTTCTCCTGCCACCATGCACTACTCTTCCCGCTGCTTGCTGGGCAAGTCACCAACCTTTGCCCCTTCTTGCTCATGGCCTTTCAGACTTGTTTTGATGCTGGTGGAGAGTCAGGTGACTCAGGATCACTCCAGAGTGCTACAGGCACTGAYTGGACACCAGTGAAGTCTCACTATCTTCTCCCTAAAAAGTGGCATATCTAAGATTGTAGTGCCATACCCAGGCAGCCTGAATTCCATCCAAATGCTTTGGCCGCAGCGTTTCCCTTACTAGCTGGCTTTAAACAGCTCTTCTCAATGCARCTTAGAGGATCCAATGAAGGCAATTCAGATACTGCCAAAGTGTCCACCCCTCTGTAATAAACAGACACAGTGATCCGAGCAGAATTTAAGTTAAGTTAACCAAGTATGGCCCTTCACACTATTAAAGCCACCAGTGCAGATCACTCCAACTCAACACCCCATCAGGGATATCTCTATGATGCAATAGTTCATTTACTCTTTACTCACTCAAAAGCTAGAACCTTGATCATAGGTTATCTTTCTTTCAAAYACTTGCTTTCCTTTTTACTAGCAAGTAAAATATTAACTGTCCTGCTGACCACAGGAGAACAAAGCAGGAAAATTACATCAATTTAATGGGTTGATAAGTCCTATTTTTATAGAGCCAGTCCAGATGCTATTTCTATGTGAGCAAATGCTGCCAACTGCTTACTGAAATAACAGTATGTAGACTGCTAAAGACTTACCTAGTTTGCTGATCTTAGAAGTACCGCACACTACAAGAATACATTGAAGACATGAAAGCTTAGGTGAATTTTGGGGAAAAAAAATGTAAAGTAGCAATGAAGATAGGGATTAGTTATAAAGAAAGAAACTGGGAAGAACAAAAGAGAGCTGAAGTTGGTGAGGCTGAGTAACTAAGCATTCAGAGTAATTTCTAACATGGGAGTGCATTAAGTGTTATACTCTCCTTCACAAAAATTAGGCATGAAAATTGGGCAACTGGGCATGAAAATAAGCTTTTTCATGCCTCTGCATAGATTTCTGTTCTACCACCAGCAGCACCYTCTGTTTCATTTCAACAATTAGAGGACCACAGTAGTATATAGTTGTTAGAGTAACAGTTAAAAACAATCATAAAAGATCACTATGCTCAACTGAAAAGTTAAGTTAGAAGGGAAACAGTTCTACATGATCACACAACATAGCTACACAAGCAGGTGTTTCATTCGGGATTTATTTTTTTTTTTGTTGTTGGTTTGAGGTTTTTTCACTAGTAAGCTAGACAGCAGCAAGARAAGACCTACAGCTTAACTGTTTCTGTAGTTCTACAGCTTATGGGAAGTATTTTGAGCTCTGTCCTGCCATGACTAGACTAGCTTCTACTTTAAAGCTAGCTCCCATAAGCCTACATTAAACCGCAATCACAGCACAGTGCATACACCCAGTGAAAATCCCTGCAATTCACAACACCAAGGACAATTATCACTGAGCTCCCCTGTTTATGAGTATGTACAGCTAGCTTGTTAACAGACACCATTTTCCTCTGTTAAAGACTGTTATACTGGAAAACCATTAGTCGGTGGCCAGATCCACAACTAGAATAAAGTGAAGGTGAAAAAAACAACAGAAGATATGTCTCTACCATATGTATATATGGTGCTTCTGCTAAAGGATATTATCAAACAAAAAAAGTAGTCGTATTACAACACTTGCTTATACTATAGGAACATCTAGGAGTCGCATTCAAGAAGAGGTGCATAGATGCCTAATTTATGCATAAATCCAGAGAAAGAATATACCCTTCTCACCTTTCGTTTGGATACCAGTTTATTTACTGTACTGGATTTACACAGAAATTTAGAGGGTGTTCACAATGACTCCACCTTCTATTAGAATGTCAGTATACAGTATATCAGGAGTTACCAGTTTGGTGTGATATTCCACCACTTTCAGCGGTGCCTCCAGATACTGAGAAAAGATCAGCAGTCTGCCAAGACAAAGTCACTTTATACGWTGTGGGAATGTGTTAACTGAGATAATATTTAAGCAAAAAAAGCACTGGTCTCAAGTGTCTCTGTCTCCCTCCCAACCTGGGGACAAAGGTAACTCAAACTTGAGAGTGGCCATTCTAATACAGAACTTTTGCCATAGAAAAACTTTAGAACATCTAAACTATCACATGCAAAATCATTACCAGACGTATTTTATGACCTATGAACTTAGTACAAGAAGTACTGCATGTTGATGTCCAACATGTGTTCAAAGGTGCTGCTAAGACAACTTTCCCTTCAGGTGTTGATCCCAACAGTTGTACTGGGAGCAGGGGCTCGTAGAGGAGCTGACAGCCAGCATYGAGGTGTCCTAGAGCTGTCTAATGCTGTGTCATTACCCAGATTTGAGGAACTCACTAATCTGGGTTTTAGCAGTTTTGCATCAGCATGCCTCCACCCTGCCAACCTGGCGTCTAGTTTACAGCAAGCACTTAATTGCTAGTGTGTAGATTTTGTTATTTCTGCTGCTGAGTTCATTTTGGTGCTGTACCACAAGTACAGCGGCATAGCCAAAGTTGAAGCAAGGAAGCTTCTAATAACTACAGATTAACATCTTCCAAAAGACAGCAGCCTTTTATTTTACCAAGAAAGGCTAGTATACAGGCTAGAGCAATCACTTGCTAACTTGCTCAGACTTCATACCTAATTTGTCAGTCTGCCCTATGCCTCAGTTTCCCAGACATTAAACTAGAGATAACAAAAAATCTCACCATCTCACAGGGCTGTTCTCCTGAAATGCTCCACTGCAATTACAAGCTTCACAGGCTCAGTGGACCAAGACACATAAGTATCAGTTCAAAGYTGGAAGCACAGAGCTTGAATTCAATCATCCAGGATATTTGTGACACCTGAAAATGAATGCAGCTCCCTACACTACTATAGCTTTAATGCAGAGTTCAAAATGCAAGAAGACAAAGCTTTGAACTTAGAACTTATCAACTAAAATCCTTTAATAGGTAGCTTCCAGCTATTTTAATTTTACAGTAGAATATTAAAAACTTCAAAGAGTAAGCATCTGGAAGACTCTGGAATATCAAAAACTCTACTTCTTTCCTAAAAAGCTGAAAAAGATCAAAGGAGCAATGTAGCAATCACAAAAGCTTCTGCAGCTCTCTCTAGTAGCTCTTAAACTTTGTTCTGAACACCTATCTCCAGATCAGAGTTGAAACTGGAGAGGAGAAGAGCTGTGGCAGAGGGATTACAGTATATCTGATTTGACACAAGAAGGGGCAAAGACTAATCAGGAACAGGAAACCTCTGACAGTKGCAGGTCTGAACACTGCAAGCATTGTTCTTTCCTTCGACTCAAGTTTAGGAAAACAGGAGGCATTCTTTGCTCTAATTAAACCCAGCATGAAACCCAGAGAAACCCAACAGATTAGGATCCAATTTGTACGTAGTTAAATGTTATTTAAAAAATATGCTACTTAAATATCAACAGCATTTAAGGGTTCAGTTTCTACCCATGACACCCTTACAACTGTCCCATTATTCACACCCTCACAGAAATTTTAAGTAATTTTCCAAGGATGCTTGGAAATATCCATACCTATTTCACTAGCCTGCAAGTGTAACTGGAGGATTACGATCCTCCAGAACATCTCTACACAAAATTCATTCCACTCATACAAAACAGGAAATCAGAGCTCACACTTGGAGGCATAACAAGATGGCACAAGTCCTATGAGAATTTAGCCCATGTCAGCCATTTCCCCCGTAAACCTTTCCTTCAAAGTGTGCTTACACTTCCTTGCTCTGGAAGAAAGCCAAATTCCCGARGTTTTGGAGATACTGTACCCTGCCCCCAGTCATCAAAATAACTTTTTAGTTATGACATTTTTATGTTGCTTTTTTTTTCTGCTTTATAGCCTGTTAGCTAATTCCTATTTCTGTCCCCCCACACTAGGCAAATATCTACATCCTCTCTACAAATCTACTTACTTATGCTTCAATGTATCATTTCCTAGAAAATCGGCAAGCCATTGACTCCTTTCATACACAAAACTTGTACCCTTTTGGAAACGCTAATTAAACTTACAAACACCAATATTTTATACTGCACTGCAGCTTTTCCTTGAGCATGTATTTTGTTATTTCATTCATCAAGAGTAAAGTCAAAAGCAACTTCTTCCTTTTTAAAACTGTTATARGAAGAAATGCAGGTGTGAGATAAAGAACAGAATTAGTTTCAACATTCTTTTATCAACTAATAGGAGATGTGTTTCTCTTTTTCCACATTCCTGCTGTTTTGACAGCATGTTATCTCACCTCGTATATCATCACTTCAAGCTTTTCCTTACATAAACTAGTGTTTAGCCAAGCAACAATCACAGTTCTCCCTTCAAATATCTCATCAGTGTTCATTAAGTAACAAAATCAGCAAGGAACAGAACAAAGAAAAACATAAAAAAACCCTGGCTTCAACCCATGCTCTATTTCATGCAGTGTCTGGGCCCACTGATTTAGTTGAAACTGCTCAAAAGAATCAACTTGTAAAAGCATCTTCTGTACTCACAAGTACCAACTGAAGTTATACAATGATTGCTGTGAAGAACTTGTACATATAAGTCAAAGTGCTGTTATTTTTCCAGCTACTGAGATATCTGCTATACCTTTTGCACTGTACAATTACCTTTTTTTACACAAAATAAATGAGGCTGCCCAAATAATCTACCTGGGTWGTGCATCAAGGGATGCAAGTCAGCAACACTGTCAAAAGCCTCAGAGGCCCAGCTTCAGCAAACTGAGAGAACTGGCCMTGTCAGGACAGAATCAATTTCTCCAGAGAAGTATTTTAATTCATGGGGTTTTACTGTCCCCCTTTTAAGCTCTGCAATATGTAGCCCTACCTATTATAAGACTGACAGTTCTGGGGACTGTCTGAAGTCTCCCAAAAACTGTGACACATGCAGTAGAGATGYAATCTCGTGGCTCTGGAAATGTGTTGAAAAGCCCACCTGGAAACTTACATTGCAATGCCTAGTTGATACATGGATGTACCTCCTTCTTCCAGGCTGAGGCTTGTCCRACCATTGCCTTATTCTCTAAGATAAATCTAACACAAGCAAATGCACATCCTTTTGCATACCCTCTTTTCTCTGGGGCTTTCCAAAGGATGTATCTGGCAAGTAGGGTTTCCAGGCTGAGCAGCAGAGGCCAAGAAATGATAGAAATTACATAACACCTTTAGCAAAATCAAGGATGAAAATATATTTTATTCTGCTTTTGACTCTGTGTACACATATACATTGTGGTAATCCCAAACAGAATCTCAACCCAAACTCTCATAGTATTTCATACATTCAGCCATTAATCCCATTAATGACCCAAGTTATAAAACCTGGGTTCAAAAAAGCATTCTTAAGACAAACAGCCACTTCCTTCTTTCAACCCTCTTCCTGCTCGCTCAAGATATTTCYAGGCTATATAGTGAAATCTAATGGAATACAAGACAAGAAAGTAATTTCCTCTGTTGGGGGCAAGGGAGAGATTCTTCAACAGGAAAGACTGCGAAAGTAACACCCAATCTAAGAAAGCCCAATGATGGAAAAACAGTCATGGCCAGAACATGCCTAGCTACCWGCTAGTGCCAGGAGCTAGGCAAGCACTCCTGCCCTTACTCCAGCACATTCTTCGTTTATTATTTAAGGCCTTAAGAACTCACTCTTTGTGCGATTTTATCCAGCCCCGATACTCAGAAATACATTTATTTCTGACTCACACCTCATTTCCTATTCTCCCTGTAATTCTAAAGAATGTTTCCAGTGTGTGATCAGACACTCACAGGACCTGTCAGTTTTACTGATGCAAGCTGTTTACCTTCCCGGCAGCACTCTTAACATCTGTAGGCGTGTCGCAAATTACCTGTAATTGCAGGAGCCTTGATTTTGCTCGCTGTTGTAGCCGGTCGTACGTACTTCACATAACGCGCTTACCGTGAGCTGCTGGGAGGTGAAYAGAGATGTCGTTTTAAGTTAAACGCGTAACCCACARAGACGTGAGCATTCCCAATCAAAA